TCAAAGATCATCTTCAGAAGTTCTCCTCTGAGTCTACCCACCAAATGAGGTGAGTAGTAAAAAGAGGACCTTTTCTGTGCTGGCCTCACAGATGTGGAATCTCCTCCCCAGACAACCTGGTCCAGCGTCATATTGTAGTTGATCTGGTAACGCTGCTGGTTCTCTTGACTTTTATTTTCCCTTTTTTACTTTACTTGCATTTGGTTGTTTCTTCAAACATTGTAGGTGTTTGCATTGTTTTATTACGGTATGTTTTTATACTTCGTATATACATTGATTGTGTATTCCTGCATGGCAGAATGGGGCTGGACTGGATGACCCTTGGGGTCTTTTCCAACTCTAGGATTCTAGGATTAATGCATTTTTAAAACTTCATTATGTGAACTAACCTGGGAACTTTAACTATGTGAATTCTTTTTGAGTGGGTTGGTTTTTTTGCCCAGCATGTTTGCAGATGGGCCCTTGAGGGCCTCAAAATGGACTTGGGACCCATATGTGGTCCACAGGCCACACTTTCCCCACCACTGTGTTAGATGATCCTAACTATGGTCAGGAACACACTGCAAAAATAATCCAGTTTGAGACCCCTTTAACTGTTTGAGACCCCTGGCTCAGTACTAAGGAATCATGGGAATTGTAGTTTATTGTGGCAACAGAGGTCTTTGACAGAGAAGGCTAAGTGTCTCACAAAACTAGTTCCCAGAATTCCCTAGCATTGAGCCAGGGCAGTTAAAGCCATTTCAAACTGGATTATTTCTACTGAGTGTTCTGGATCTGAATTACAGGGCAAGGTTTGGGGATTGAGTAGTATGGATGCTTTGCTTTTGCCTTCTTACCTTCTTGCTGTTGTTGTGAACAAATCCACTGAACAAATATTGCCCAGAAAACCCCATGATAGGTTCACCTTAAGGCATGATAAACAACACACAACAAATTGCAACTGTTTTATTTTCTAGGCATCTCTGCTGGGATAGGTGTTTAATCTAACAAAGAAATTATTCTTCACTTGTTCATTTTTCTTAATATTCCCTGTAACTGTAATTGTGCAACAAAATCCACAGTGATTAGAAAATATGGACGTTATCACACGGGGGCAAATCTGCTGGTTAATCCACA